ACGATTTTACGTGGAAAAAACCACAATTGGACACCTCCAACTGTGATCAAAAACCACGGGCAACAGCCACAAGAACAATCCACTAAGAAGATTTAAAGGAATTACACAGGTATACTCTCAATTACCTAGCGAATCCACAACGCCTAATTGAACCAACCTCTATGTGCCTCTTCCAACCCCATCTTCACCTCGGAATTGTCTTTACGATGAGCCACCCCGGAATCCACCAAAGCTTCAGGTCGAATTCTTCAGAATCCACCGAAGAACAACTCTCTCTTTTGTATAGCAAACAAAAACCTTTGATGTACTCTCTTTAAATCATGAGATGAATACTCAATAAAACATCAAAGAAAACTCACAAAGTATCCCCAGATATAAACCCTAGAACCCAAAAAGAAGATCTGGAGTAGTAATCCTAAAATCTGACCCAACACGCGAATTTATAGAATCTGTCCTGCGATCTCCGCTACAGCGCCCAACAGCCCGCTCGAGCGGCTTCAGCAAAATATGCGCGTGATATAACAGAGGTCCGCTCGAGCGCCAGAACGCCCGCTCGAGCGCGAAATCACACATCTCAGTACTTTTGCAGGCGACCAAAACTGCTGGAACCAGGGATTCTCCGCTCGAGCACTGGTATGTCCACTCGAGCGGACAGGCAATTTTGAATGCATTTTTGCATTTTGCTTCGGGGGCGCTGCCCCTCGACCCCGCCGTGGCGCTGCCCCAGACCTGCCAAGGGGCGCTGCCCCCTGGACCCCCGCGAGCTGACCGGGCAGCTCGATCCCCGTCATAATCAGCGAAGTGGCAATCTTGAAGACATTGGCATCACAAACTTCTCTGAAAAGCACAATTCGGGTTGGATTCGCATCTAAACACTCATAGCCTTACTGAAATAAAAATGCGAATAAAATTACAACTCAAAGGAGTTTTGTCAAACGGGATTGCCAAGAAATAAAACCTAACACTTTTCATACATGTATACATGAACAGTACAAAACAGTATATACAACATTTACAATCATTCAGAACAAGGACCTAATCCTTATTAAACAGTACAGTACAGTCTAAACAGTTATACAAAACAGATACAGAGACAGATGGAGAAATTAAAACACCCCCCAAGCCATAGCTTGACAGGCTCGGAACCTCACAGTGAGGCACAGTGGTTGGCTTGACAAAACTGGAGTTTACCCCGACGCTTCTAGCAACGGTCCAGTGCCTGTACACCTACATATATATATGAGCAGTGAGCTAAAACCCAGTGAATAACATAATGCATAAAGAGGTTAAGAATGAATGTCCTTTCAGTATTGAAAACAGTCATTTCAATCAGTATATCAGTCATTCAGTTTGTGGCTCATATTTCAGGCCATAACAGTCATTCAGTCATATGTGGTACATCCATTAGCATAGCAGTACAGTAAACAGAAGGTCTTAAAAGACCGGGTCTTAACAGACCAAACAGTGAATGATGGCCATCATAACAGTAAACAGTAGTGGTTCCAACATGGGAACCGACAGAGATCTCTGTAACAGTAGCAGTAGCAGTAAACAGTAGTTGTTAAGGATGCCACAATACAGTTCAGAATAGAGGACATACATTCATTCAGTTAACAGTAACAGTTTAGAAAGCAATTCAGTTTAACAGCCAGAAATATTCACAGTTGAACATATCTTTACACAATTATTACTCACAGAGTTCTGGGCTATAGTAAAGCTAGAGCGTCTCCTTGGATGCCAACCCTACACAGTTACAAAACGAACACACACTAAGCTACACAGTTGGGAAATAATAACTTAATCCCTAATTTGCCTTGGTGTGGTTCTACATCTATATCCTCATTAAGATGTCTTAAACTAGGCCTAAGAATGCTTAGGATGGGATGAGGATGCAAAGATGTATTCAGAAAACATTTTTCAGAATTTTAGAAAATCAGAGGTCCCGCTCGAGCGCCACTTTTCCCGCTCGAGCGGACATGCAACAAAGGGCTCCGCTCGAGCGTGAGTTCTTCCGCTCGAGCGGATTGTAAAACAATGCAAGATGCTGGGAGCTCGAATTCCCCGCTCGAGCGGCACTTTCCCCGCTCGAGCGGACGGCCAAAATCTGGAAAATCCAGATTTGAGTCCCAAGCTCAAAACCAAGTTTTAATGCACCAAATTCGATCCTTTTGGGCTAATTTTCTGGAAAACACTTCAAAAATCATAATATAACACGTTTCAAAGATCAATTTGAGAAATCAAAGCCCAAAGGTAGTTCAATTAAACATGATTTCAAACCAAATTTCAAGAACATGATGAACATGCAATATCCATGAATTCAATCAATTTCAAAGCTTCAAACACTCGCTCAATTGAGCCAATTCTTCTTAAAACATGGTGAAACCATGGACTTAAACATGTACATGCATGCAAGATTTCTATGAAATCAAACCTCCAAACTCAACAATGTATACATGTATGCATGCTAGAAGCTACACTTCAACATTTTGGACCAAAGCTTGACTTTAAACCTCAATATAACATGAATCATGTAAGAACTAACTTAAATGTAAGTTCAAGAAGATCGTTCCTCTACCTTATGCTTTCAATTTGAGGTATAAAGGCTCAAGTTTGCAATTCTTCTATGATTCTTCAAATCTCCAAGCAATTCAAGATGAAATGTTGATATCAATATTTCTCCTAATTCTCTCTCTCTCTAATCGGCTATGAGCTCAAGAATGGGCTGATGAAATGTTATCTCTAGAGGCTCAATATGTTATAATGAAGCTCAAGTGATGTGTAAAGTAGGCCACTAACATGGCAAAGTTGTAATTAAGGCCAAAATTTTGTAATTACATTGTTTGATCTAATTTAACCATACCAAATAACATTTTAATTAAATATACCATTAAATCATATTAATTCCAATTGACATAAAACATTAATCGATTTTGGATTCGGCCGCCGATAAGGCCTTCAATTTGCAGTTTAAAGCATGAACACGAACAGATAGTTTAGCAGTCAAACAGATAGAATTACATTCGACTAGTACAATCAATCAATCAGTTCAGTAATTCAGTCAGCCAGTCAATTAATCGTGCTTAATCATAGATTAGCACTAATCAGAGGTGTTATCAGTAAACAGTGGTGAGGGTTGTTACATGAGCATACAACAGATTTCCACAGGGCTTTATCATCAGACCCATATCTCCACCAGCACTTTAACAACATACAGTTATTCACCTCACCTAAGTCTCTCACTCCCAAACCTCCTTGATTTTTGCTTTTGGTAACCTCCCCCCAATGAACCAGGTGCACTTTCTTGTTAATTTCAGATCCACCCCACAGAAAAGAGGATTGCAGTTTAACTAAAGCATTAACAACCCCCTTAGGCATCCTAAAGATTGAAAGAAAATAGATTGGCAGATTAGAGAGTACAGATTTAATCAAGGTCAGTTGCCCAGCAAAAGACAGCAACTTTATCTTCCAAAAAGACAGCTTCTTTCTCACCTTATCCACTACTGGATTCCATGTGCTCATCCTCCTAGGATTGGCCCCTAGTGGCAGCCCTAAAAAATTAAATGGTAATTTTTTGGACAGACAGATCAAACTCTGAGCAAATACCTTAGTTTGGTCCTCATAGGAACCCACTCCACATACTACACTCTTCTGATAATTGATCTTTAAGCTGGACATCACTTCAAAGCACCTCAACACCCTTTTCATGTTCAAAACTTTTTCCATATCACCTTCACAAAATACAATACTCTCATCTTCAAATTGGAGATATGAGATACATAATTCATTTGATCCAACTATGGCACCTCTAAACATGCCCTTCTCTTTTGCCCTTGCTAATAATAGTTGAGAGCTTCAGCTACAATAATGAACAGAAATGAGAAAAGAGGATCTCACTGCCTTAACCCCTTCTGTGGATGAAATTCCTCTGTGGATGCACCATTAACCAAGACAGATACCATCGCTGTAGAAATGCAAGTCCTCATCCATCCAATCCATTTATCACCAAATCCAAAGTTGTTCAACATTGACAACAAAAATTCCCAATTAATGGAATCATAGGCTTTTTCAAAATCCAATTTAAGTATGATACCTTTCTTCCTTGATCTTTTCCATTCATTTACAACTTCATTTGTTATTAGCACACCATCTAGAATGTATCTACCACTCACAAAAGTTGTTTGCACCTCATTGATCACAAATGGGAGGACCCCCTTGAGTCTATTGAACAGCACCTTTGCTAAGATCTTATAGACAGAGCTTACCAAGCTAATAGGTCTGTAGTCCCCCAAACCTATAGGATTATCCTTCTTAGGAATAAATACAATGAAGGAACTGTTAACCCCTTTGGACAGCTTGCCATTTGAATGAAACTCATGCAACAATTGAATTATCTCCCCTTTCAATATATGCTAGCACCTTTGAATGCAAGTAAGGTTAAAACCATCTAGGCCTGGGGCATTATTCCCATCACAATCCTGAAGTGCTTCCTATATCTCAACTTCAAAAAACACAGCTTCCAGATTTCTTGCAGCCACAGAACTAATAACAGCAAAAGGGCCTAAGATTTTTGGCCTAGAGTTCCAGTTCTCAGAGAATAGTTGACTGAAATGCCTAACCACTTCTTGCTTCACCTGAGCTGGATCCTCTAAGCTCACATCTTCCACCAGAATTGAGTCTAACATATTCTTTCTCTGTCTTCTACTAGCCATAATAAGAAAGTATCTAGTATTTTTATCACCAGTATAAGCCCACAACTGTCTAGATTTTTAATGCCACAACATTTCCTTACTCTTACTTAGTTGCCACACCTGGCTTCGAGCTTCTCTTCTACTCCTTAATTCCTGTTCATCAAGGGGCCTAGACTCTGCCTTCAGATCCCACTCATGTAACTCCTCCTCTGCTGACTTTAGAAGAGTGTCAATGTTGCCAAACATTTCCTTATTCCACACCCTTAAATGACTCCTAAGCATGTTCAACTTTCTCATGACTCTAAACCCTGCCTACCCTTGAACTTGTGCTTCCTCCCACCTCTTTTTGACTTCAGACATGAAGAAGGGATGTGATAACCAGGCATTAATAAACTTGAAGGGCTTTGGTCCCCAATCCCTATCATCCTCCTTTAGCAAAATGGGGCAGTGATCTAAGATTGTTCTAGGTAAACCCCATTTCTTAAAAGAAAACTTTTTCATCCACTTCAAATCTAGCAGGAATCTATCTATCCTACTCCACCTATCCCCATCCAGTGCATTACACCAAGTATACTGTCTACCTAGCATAGGCAAATCAGTCAGTTCTAACTTTTCTACAAACTCATTAAAGTCCTTCGTCCCCCTCTCTCTAGAAGAGCATACTTTCCTCTCACCCATGTATCTAATTTCATTGAAATCCCCTTCCACACACCAAGGATTTGGAAAATTTGGATAGACATTCACCAGAGTGTCCCATAATTGTCTCCTCTTGAGAACCTCATTTGGAGCATAGATATTCACTAATACACACTGAAAAGAATTACATGAGGTACCTGATAGAATGATGAAATTTTTACTACAACAGCGTTCCTTGAGCTCAAAGACATGTGGCCTCCATATACACAAGAGACCACTAGCACTCTCATCTGAATCTACCAGCATAAATTCCATCCCTTCATAAGGCCAGATAGATCTCACAAAATATTCATCCATAGAGCTTCTTTTAGTTTCTTATAGTAAGAGCACATCAACACTCTTCCCCCTCACCAAATTCTTAATTTTTCCCCTTTTTTCTGGCCTTCTCAGCCCTCTAACGTTCCATGATAAAATCTTCATGGTAAACTCACAACTTTCACCCAATCCCCTGCTAGCAACCAGTTAGGCTCTGGTTGCCCCTACATCACCTGCAATTCTGCTTAAATCATTCTCTTCAACTCAACAATTTTGCTCACTACCTCCTCCTCTTTTCTTTGGCAGTCCATTCCAATAAAGTGCCCACCCTCACTGTTGACTTAGCCTCCTCCAGTAAGTGCCTCCTTCTGTTCACAGCCTGACTTTGGGAAATAGTCATGGAAGAAGCTGCTGCTATTGATGAAGCTCTGAGGATGGCTCCCCTTTGGAAACCAAGTCTGCCGACCATGCCTCTCCTTTGGTCTATACCCTTTTTCCAGGACTTACACCCTCTCTGCACTGCAACTTCCTTGAATTTACTCACTTTCGCAATCCGTTTGACCATACTTCTATGAATTGTTTGGGCCAAAATTGGCCTAGGTTAAGACTGGGCCACACTCTCACTCAAATTCGACCCCAACCCCTTATAAGATCCACTGGGCTCAGGCCCCACCTGCACTCCTCCAAGTAGGACTTGCAAATTTATATTAGGCCTTGCATTCACTGGCCTACTCAACTCCCTTAGTAGCCCTATATTGCACATAGCCTCATCCATATTTTGAACTATACTCATGATTACCTGATGAGGGTTAACATCCTGCACCAACCCCTTCGCCTTGGTACATGCACCTACAGAGCCAGTCCCCATGCTACCCTCTATGTCAACCACTACTTTGGCATGCTTACCATCATTTTCCCTACCCTGCACATCTGATCTACCCATCACAGACTCCAATACCCTACTAGCCACATCAAATTCTTTCTGAAGAAACTTGCTCCACAATCTTGCTGCAACCACCATTACCAGACAACTGGTGGCTCTTCTTTTCCATTGGAGTGCAATTGACCATGTTCCCTACCTCTGCTCTCAGTAGGACTTGGAAATAAACAACTAGGGAATTCTTCACAGACTCTAACTGGAATATGCTTACCTTTGTGTTCCAGAAAGATTGTTGTGTTAATCCTCTCCAAACAGCTTGTAATCACTCTAACTTTAGCTTGTTTGAAAGACTTTAGATTGTTGATATCCTCTTCAAATTGAACTACCACCCCCCCAATAACTACCAATACTGCGGATTGTCGTAATACTCCAAAGATTGATAGGAATGCCAAAACAGTTCAACTATATGCATCTCTCTTGCTCTACAAACTGACATTTCCCTCATTCATTGATAGAATTACACCACAGTTTCCCCCACCCTTGCAATTGTAACTTCCCTTCCTGCATTTGTTGTGCTGAGGGAAAGGTTAATAGGACTAGTCTGTCACCCCCTCTCTTGCAATCACATCCTTCATCCCTCTATTGCACATTTCCTATGTGAAGTCCTTGAAACCTAAGAAGCTACTCAACTGCACTACTAAACTTTCATACCTCCAACCATTACCTTCCTCATAAGCTTTTATGACCACCTTCTCCTTGGCACTAGCATCGCCACTTAGTAATGCCTCGGCATAGGATTTCTGGACTCCGTTACCCTTCCTCTGTTTTGAATGAAACCACTGATTCTCCACTCGTCCTTCGTCTCCCCTACTTAGCCCCCTGGGCTCCAAATGACCAAACCGCTGAGGTTTTTGAAACTCTGCTCTCTTAACCCTCAGTGCTTTGTTATCACCCCACAAACCATCTGCCTTCTGAATCGCCATCTGTGCAGCTACCTCACAATCGTATCTTACAAACCTAAATCTAGATCTTGAGTTTTCCTTCTCTTCCCTGGAATGAACACATCCTTTACCAGACCAAACTTTCGAAAAAGGTTAAACAAACCTTTAGGATCCATTGAGTCTGGGATGTTATCTACGAATATGGTGACCAACACTGCCTCCTTGAGATATCCAAGCTGGCTTCCCACTTTTCTCCTGCGTATCACTAGGTTCCAACCTCCTCACTCCATCTTATCACTGGGTTCCAAAGCCCCTACAAGAAATTAACGTACTTACCTATCACAAAAACATAATTTTTCTAATTGTAATTTTAAAAGTGCATACTATAACTTTGCTATCCATAATTTTTACTACAAAAAAATATGACTTTTCTTTGATAGCTTTCACATCATATACACAGTTCGGATGAAAGCATCAACTGTAAATTAATTAACGAAAATCATATCGTAAGTCAATTTCCTTCAACTTGTTGAAAAATATTTTACCCCAATTTTATGCAACTAGACACAAAAAATTAGTAAATGTTCAAACAAATGGAGCCTTATTGTGTTTTTGTTGGAAAAATTCGTCTTGAATTCTTCACTTTGCGATTTTCAGGTCATCGAAAATTGGCAATCACTCTGTCTATGTAACCAGAAAAAGATTTCCTTCAAGTCGCGTTACTTAGTCACTTTCCTAAATACAATATTTGCATCTACCAATAAGTGTGCAGGGGGTTATAGCAAATTTACCTCAAGGATACAATGAAATTGATCTAAGGATCAAGTTTACTGGCCTCTACACTGATTATCAAGATCAAAATACTCTTGATATGATCAAGAAAATCAAGACACTTATTATGAAATCTGTAGAAAATGAGTATTAGTAAGGCAGAAAGTTAAAAAATTCTTGATCGAAAACTCTAAATCAAAGAGCGAAAGAATTGCAAGAACGCTTTTAAGAATTTTTGGATGATGGAAATGGCGGGATTCACAACCAATTTATAAGTCTTGATGCACCTGATGAAGTGGGTCATGTCCCTTGATTACATCTGATCAGGTTTGACCATTGGATTGTGCAAATAGGAAATCGCCCTCATGGCGCCTTGCTCCGATTCGTTCATGCAAGGTGTGCCATCAAAGCGCAACCCACTACCTACGCCATGCGCTCGTGTGTAAATGGTGCACCATCCTTACGATGTGTGTGCATGTACACTAACTTCCATTACACAATTTCATATTCAAAAGCATATTCCATATAATACTTTATTAAGTGTTTCATATTTTCCTCTCTTTCCAATATCGGACAAAGTCCCCAAGCTTGTTTCTAGCTTTCCATAGAAAGATAAGAAAGATTTTAAAAACACCCAAAAACTAAATTATTAATTTTAAAAATCATGTTGAAAATTCCCCAATAGTTTCGCCTTCATATACACAGTTCAAATGAAAGTATCAACTGGAAATTAATTTATGAAAATCAAATCCGCAAGTCAATTTCATTCAACTTGTTGAAAAATATTTTATTCCAATTTTATGCAACCAAACATCAAAAATTAGTAAACGTTAAATCAAATGGAGCCTTATTATATTTTTCCATTTATTATTTATTAAGAGTATCATATAAATAATATCACGTAAGATCAACCCAAAAAAAAAATCTTGAGGTAAACCTTGGCTTTTTACATTGACATTTTTTTTTATCAGCAAAGAAAAATTTCATTAAATAACATGAAATTAAAGGTATAGGAAGATGAAATGCACTGAAAGAGATTCAAAAATTACAAAATACCCCTACTACTGCTACTCGCAACCATACAACCAACCCCTCGGCCTCACGATTTTTTTTTTTCAAACAAAAAAAGTTAAGAAGGACTTAACAGAAAATAAAATACATGATTTCCCACAAAATCAACCCACCAAAACACCCAAACTGCTAAAATTATCAATTCTAACACCCAAGCTGGTAACCCAAATATTTTATACACCTACTACACTCCCACAGCCCACACTACCCAAGACCCACGCCACCCACGCCTACTCTGCGGCCCACACCCACGCCTTCTCTAGAGCCAACCACCCGCCTGAACACAACGTATTCACCACACCAAGACCCACACCTAAGCTGCTGCACTCCCAAGGCTACACAACACCTATGCTGCTGCACTCTTGAGGCCACACCACCGGAAAACACCATAGCCAACAGCTCACCTGAACACCCATCAACCAACAGCTCACAGCTCCAAACACCATAGCCAACAGCTCACCGGACATTGCAACTCCAAACTCCAACCTCTAAACTCTACAACGCCTATGCTGCTGCAACACCCCTGCTGAACTTGACATTGCAACTCCAACACTTGCTGCCGAAGACAGATCATCACCCACTGCCACCGCTATCTCTTCTACTGCAGCTCCACACACCGACCATCACCCACACCCACACCCACACCCACACCCACACCCACTGCAGCTCTACACAGATCATCACCCGAAGACAGATCAACACCCACACCCACTGCAGCTCCACACACCAACCAAAACACCGACCAACCGCTGAGACACCTCCATACATTTAGAAGAAGATCACCTCTCAAACTCTCACCCGAAGAGGAGCGCTTGAATGAAAACTAGACAGATCTGGATCGACTTCAACACCCATGTTTCCGCCCAAACAAAGCATCGAAACTTCTCCACCAACCTGAACCAGAGTTCACCCCTCAAGCTCTTACTCGCAAAAGCGCGCACGAATGAAGATCCTGGACATCCCCTGATGAGTACTAATTGTTTACATTGACATTTTGTTGAGTACTAATTAATTGTTTCCTATCATTTCAAAAAAAATTAATTGTTTCTTAGAATCAAATGAAATAAAGATTAATGATTCATCCACCGAATTTGTTCAAATTAGACTCCAGAAGAGTTTTTCGTGAGTTTCTAAAGAAGTGGGAGACTCTTCTAAAAAAAAAAGTCTCATTCAAACAAATTCGAATTAAATAAATTCGGTAAATGAAATGATACTGTGAATTAAAATTACTAATACACTTTTTTGGCTCTCCAATGCATACCCACTACATTTTATTTGTCACAACTCAAACTGAAAATATATAAATTTATATAAGAGTTTTATTATCCAATAATTTTATAGATACAAATTTAACTATACAACTAGTAATAAAAATAAAA